GTAGAAGTTTTATTCAGGGTTGTTGACAACAAATTGAGTAAAAATGAGGCAAAATAGATTAACTACGAATCTCGACTGGCTGAAGTTTGATATCCTGAATTTATTATATTTACAATTTCAATATCAAGACAGCCTGAAATTTTGAAAATTTATTATATTTACATTAATTTACTAGCAATAGTTTTAACGCTTGTAGATTTATATGTGGTTAATGAATCACTGGGATAATAATTAGGATTGTGCATTGCTCCAATCAAGGGTAACGAGATTAAAGTTTAAATATAGATTCGGATTGTTTCATAGTAATCTATATTTTGACATCGTTTTATTTTACAACCTCAAATTATCTTTCGAAAGATCATATTTAACAAATAATCATCTCATTAAAAGTCGCAAATTATGAAGCAAATATTTAGTGATTTCGTGATTTCAGAAAACTTTCCAACAAATTTATACTCCATCACGTATTTTTAAGGTTTATTAAGGCATTAAAGGCATTAAAGGCAGTCTCATAGGTAAAATTTTGCTAAAACCTTTCTCTAATTTTTGAATTACAAACTGATCTTTAAATTAATCTGACTTAGTTTCTTGGATTTAATTTTTTTTAGCACCTACAATATGATTGGCATATGACGTACAGTTTATTTATTAACTCATTTAATTAACAGAGCCTTCTAACTTTGTAAGGTCTTTACACTTAAGAATTTACATGGCTAATTAACTATTTTATTTGTGTTACGAAGTTTCATGGCCTAATTGCTTGCAACCTGATTTTTTCACCAGCAATATCCTAATTTTTCGTTTTCTGGAGAGTTCTTCATCTCAACCGGAATTTCACTGGTAGTATTCTTGATGGGTGTCCCAGGGTGGTTTTTGTTGTTAATCCTGAATCGTGATCCTAGCACAGTTTTTGCCCTCCAGTATGACTTGAACCGGCGATCTTGCAATTAGAGCTCAGGACGTAGCCAATAAGTTATAAACAAACGGGTCTTTTGGTTTTTTTTTTATCAGAAGAAATCACTGCACGGGTGCACGTAATTTTAAATACGGACAGCACGAATTTGCACGTAAATATATACGAGACCGTACAGTGAACAGTGCGTAAAAAGGCGCGTATTTCGTGCAACACTACACGTATTTACGCGTATTTTTACTGGTTTCACGTATTTTTTACGCGTTTTCGCGTATTTTTTATTTATTTATTGTTTTTAATACGAGTTTTCACGTAATTTTTTTTACGTGTTTTATGTAATTTTTTTTTTTTTTTTACTTGTTTTCCCGTATTTTTTTTACGTGTTTTCGCGTGCTTTTTTTACGTGTTTACGCGTATTGTTTTTTGTTTTCACGTATTATTATTTTTTATTATTTTATTTATTTATTATTTTACGTGTTTTCACGTATTTTTCGCGTGTTTCACGTATTTTTTACGTGTTTTTTTTTCACTAATACTTTTACGTATAGTATTTAGGGTAGTAAATTACTGTGAGCTTTAATTCTTGATGAAAGGTAAGTAGTATAAATCAAATTACGTATGACTACATGTTTCAACTTTTTTCATTTTTCCTATTTCTGTGCAGGGACTGAATTACGTGCCTCTTTCGTGCTAATTCCGTAGTAATAGGGATAATGTGTTCCAAGAAAATTTAAGATCATTAGGCGATACATAAATTCGAAGAAAAGAAAAAAACCCCGAAAAAAGTCAAATTTTTATTGTGGCAACTAATTTCAGTCGTTAAGTAAAGCCTTAATCAAAAAATTTTAGATATATTTTCATTGATTTTTATTAACATAACCACTTAATGTACCGGAAAAGCCACCAACTCTCGAGCACTACGTTGATCATTATGCAGTACTATTATGTCGATCAATTATTACTTAATTTTATTTAATTTGGGGAGATGAAGGATAGATTGAAGATGAATAACGTTAAACGAAAAATTAAAATTTAACGGCTCATAAATATTTTACAGTTAATGAATATGACGAAATCGTTATTTTTACCAATATGAAGCCCTCTAAAAGAATTTTACGTGAGTGTACATGTCAGCACGAAATATAGCACGTTTATAGCACAGAATTCAGATCATTTGCACTGAATCTGCGTGCGAGCAAATCGACAAACACGTAATTGGACGAAACTTTCTCATGTGAACTAAATAATGAACTATCTACAGTACCGGACAGCAAATAATATCCACTTTTTATATATAAAATTTATAAATGCTTAAAACAAAAGCACTTTAAAAAAATCTGTCTTAAAGATTTTTTGCTTTTAGTCTAAGCTTCAATTCTGTTAGAATTGATTTTTATTTTTTTTATAAAATTAGGAAGTTCTTATAAAATTAGTAAGTTATTAGACTTAAAGATTATATATAATCAAAAATTTGGCGTTTAATATGAGTAACGAAAATGGAAAACCTGTAAATAATTTCACTCAATGAGCGAAAAGATCTACAGGTTTTCCCTTTTCGTCGCTCATATGTATAAAAAAAATTGATTATATATATTTTCACAAATCAGAATTCATTTTGCAAAAATTAGCCAAATAAATTTGATTATATGGTCTAGGCGCTGGAAAAACGGCCGAAAATGACAATTTTTTCAAGAGTTTTTTAATACATAAATCAATCTAAAATGCAATTAGGATCATTTTTCACTCAAGATAAAATTTGGTAGTATAGCTCTTTAAAGTTTGCATTTTCTTATGATTTATTCTAAGATTTATAATATAAAAATTGATTTTCTGAAAATCTTTTTTTTTTTGTCATTTTCGGCCCTTTTTCTAGCATCTAACCCATATAATCTCAAATTTCGGCGTTTTTTAAAAAAATTGGATATTTTTGCTGTTCGGCACTGTAAATACTTAACGATATGGGAAATTATACTGGAAAGCATGTAAAAAAGAACGCTATTACGTGCGCTATTGAAAGTGATTAGCGTCTTTTTACGTATCCAGAGCATGTTTTCCTTGCACTACCTCGTATTATATTCAGTATAGTTCTGAATACTCTCGTGCTATCGCGTACCCGTGTTTGACTATTAAATCCCGTGCACCATTTTTTATAGTAAATGTGATTTGTAGATGAAAAATAGTACATGAGCAATGAATTCTCTATTTGTATCAACTTTGAGAATAATGAATGTCATATTGGTTATACTTAAACAAACGATCTACCATTTATATCTGGTCGTAATGTTGGAAAATCAAGATTGCACAATTTTCATGTAATTAAGGACCCCACCAGTGAGAAATAGATTCTCTTTAATAAATACATTAGAAATTTTTGAAACAGATTATAATAAGTTACAAACAGTTAATCGATTACGATCAACCAATTATTATCACTGGTGGCATTGAAATGGATTTAATCATAATCGATTATATTCGATATATACAAAAATTGTTATAACGGTTTTCAAAAAGGTGTGATCCCACGATTTTCTTGATAATGTTGGTGGGAAACTCTAGAAGTTCTAATTGTCTATTAATTATACATTCAATCAGCAATATCTACACTTATTTTGAAATCAGCAAAATTCTTATAATCGGAAGACCAATAATTAATTATTATATAAACGATAAAAGAAACTACCTTTCCAGCATTTCTACAACTACAACTTATGATTGAAATTGGTGTTAAGATCTCTGGTAAGAGCTTTTTTAGAACAGGCTGAATTTCGATAGTGAGCAGAATTTACAATAGTACTTCGATAATTGAAAAACCGACTTTATGTGATCACGGGATGAATGATATTAGTTATGTATATTCACAGGTCAGTAATTTGAATAGAAATTGATTTTGGGATCCTTTGATAGTTAAGGCAACAGAGATTCTCTTAATAACGTTTCTCTTTAATACATTTATTATATTTATGACATATTTGCTTACAAACAAATAATTACGTTTTTTCTCCTATCAGCCACCTTTATATACCTTTTTAACCATAACGGGGTCTAATGCTCAGAGAGCTTTTAACGCCTTCAGAGGAATACTCACCTTCGTTAACCTCGCTGAGGTTAACTGTTTCTTGCCGATCCCTTCCACATATTTACCCAAAATAAAATCGATAGTAACAAACCAAATAAAGAGAAATAAGACGAATCAATAACGCATGAAAAGCATAAAACCGGATGAGTATTATTAATTTGCGATATGAAGTTTAGACGAAACAATAAGGCATTAAAAGCATAAAACCGGGGGAGTATTATTAATTTGCGATATGAAGTTTAGGGTAAGAGTAACATAAAATGGAATTATTAATCAAAAATTTTTCTATCTTAAAAATAATTCTATTTTAAAAGATGAAAAAAAATTCGGTACTTAATTTATCTATTTTACCAATGACATGTCAGATGAGGTACAAACCAAGAACCATAAGCATTTGAGAACTGAATGTTTATTTGATTAATTAAAGGCGATATCAATTAGTGACATAATTAAGTAGTGTTGGTCTAGGACCTATAATTATTTATTGGCAAATATAGGTAAATTTTCCATGTCAATACAGCAACTAAGAGAATTAATATATATGACAAGACTTGGAAATAAATTTCTTATGGCGAAATTTCTTTTTTTTTTGCTTGACGAGAGTTACGTCATACGCGATCTGTCATGTGAGCAATATTAAAAAAGGTCACACAGAACTCTGTTATACATCTTCGATATTATATAGCTTATTTTGTTATAACTTGAATCCAGTAATGTGGACAGTTATCAACTACTTAAAAAAAAATATATAAGATGGATAATAAGAATAAGGCTCTTTATTTTATTTATTTATATTTTTGTTAAGAACCGCTTAAACTGATTTTAGTTTGAAGTGTGCTACTAATACATAAATATTGATTGTACAAATATGATATATATGTATATATATATAATATATACAGAAATATATACAATATATACATAAATATTAAATATAATAAGCTAACGCTCATTCCTAAATCATTTTAATACACTGTAGCACCACCACTCGCAATTTTAGCCATTATATAGTTAAGTTTGAAAATTGTATTCGGAAGTTGTTGTTGAGAGCAATGTAATTGGAATTTGTAATGGATTATTTGAATCATAATACAAATAAATTTCAGAAGTAGATGGTTGTAGTTGTCCACCAGTAGCATCAAGTACATTCGCACTTTCAGCCATAAACATATTATTTGCAAACATTGGCTGTATATTAGAATTTTGATCCATATTTCCTTCAAGAACTTGCTCATCAAAAGACTGATAATGAGAACGGAGAGACCATAGTTCTTCGTCAATATTGTCACCATTAAGAGATAATGGGTTCATAATTTGAATCATTTTATCGGTAGAATTAAAATGGGAATGTATGCATGTATTTAGAACAACAAATGATTTATCAATTGTGAAATTATGTGTTGTTTGTTCCTCGGTTCGAGATAGATGCTCAATATAAGGATAATGTACGTCCATATTTGGAGCCATAGACAATGTACCGTTGATAAAATTGTCTGAGATTGTTGTTTGTTCCTCGGTTGGAGATAGACGTTCATCATAATGATAAGGTACATCCATATTTGGAGCCATAGACAATGTACCGTTGATAAAATTGTCTGAGATTGTTGTTTGTTCCTCGGTTGGAGATAGACGTTCATCATAATGATAAGGTACATCCATATTTGGAGCCATAGATGATGTATCGTTGATAAAATTGTCTGAGAGTGTGGTTTGTTCCTTGGTGGAAGATTTATGCTCATCATAAGGATAAGGTACATCCATATTTGGAGCCATAGATGATGTATCGTTGATAAAATTGTCTGAGAGTGTAGTTTGTTCCTCGGTTGGAGATAGATGCTCAATATAAGGATAATGTTCCTCGGTTGGAGATAGATGCTCATCATAAGGATAAGGTACATCCATATTTGATGTATCATTGATAAAATTGTCTGTGAGTGTTGTTTGTTCCTCAGTAGAAGATTGTTTCTCTTTGGTATTATCATTATAATTAGAAAACGCGCCTATATGTAGTGTTCCAGACAGCATATCAGTAGTAACGGACTCCACTGTGCCTCGAATCGATTCTACGTGGTGTGTTTTCTCATCAAAGGAAGGACGATGAGCCTTTTTCTTTTTAATTTTGTTCTTTTTAATTTTGTTCTTTTTAATTTTGCTAGCTTTGCTTTTTAATGAATTTTCAGTGTTTTTAATACTTAATTCAAAATAATTATTGTCGTAATTAAGGATGCACAGTGGAGAGGTAATCATACTATAGATTTTATTGGGATCATTATTTTTCTCAATCTTCTTAACAAACCTAATAACTTCAGCAATACGGTCATATTTAAACCGGACGCCATCTGTTAACTTATCATATTCAGCTTTGCCATCTTGAGGATTAACTTTATTCACGCTTTTAAAGATCAAAAAACCATTAGTTCTTTCCTTATTTGATTTCATAAATTTGCTATCTTTAGATAAAGGAACATCGACTTTAGCTGAGTCCTCTTTATGTGGTTTGGACTTCATTTTTGAGCAATGAAGTGGAGAATCGGAAATGAAATGAGAGATGAATTTAAATATTTTTTAAGGAATGTGTGACGTACAGGAGATTGATTTGAATTTTTATTCGGTGATTATACAATATCAAAATGGAATGATGATATATTAATAAGGTGAGTTAAATTATATATATTAGTATATATTACCGATTGTAACTATTATATATATGACCGTATCGTAATTATAAACACGCTTAATAAGCAAATTTATTTTATATTTTCCTAAAAGGAAGTAATTATCAGAGATGTACGTCCCATATAACATAAAGGATTTCTATCAAAAATAACAAGAAACAACCTGATATTGTAACAACCTTCAAGTAAACGAAGAGATACATATACAAATCGTATATTGCACCTTAATTAGAAATGTAGTCAATGAGATTACGTAGGTTACACACGTGAGTGTGTCGATAATTTCAGTGAATTTTTGTTGTAATATAAGAATGGAATTATATTTTTCATATTTTAATATTAATTAGATTTTTATATCTTTCATATATAGAAAGTTGCGTATTTCGCGCCTGGCCTGGTGAAACACAGATCAAAGTACAAGAAATATAATTTAAACTTATCAATCTTTGATTTCTTAATTAGATAAATTTTAACAACTTCATTCACACGTATCAAAGAGATCCAAATATTGACCAAGTCTAACATAGATAGAAAAGGAGAATGTGATCAGGTAATGAAGTTGTAAAGTCGAAATTAAAATCAGTACTTGTTTTTTGTTCTGATTACAGCATATATTTATTTTTAACAAATCATTATTAAGATGAGTAAAAAAGGAATCTTGGCACTGATAAGATGGTTTTGCAAATAGAATGTTACATAAATTCTAATTATTTTCACATTCTTTCTTGCAACAACAAGGTAGTATCATATGATGTAAATAAAATCAGTTTTATCTTCAATGAAAATAATTTTTAAATGACTACAATTAGATTAGATATTAAAATTTATTTATTTTGGCAAATTAATCATTAAGTTAATAAACTAGGTATTAACTATTATTATGATTCCGGTGCAAAATTTATAAAATTTTATAGAAATAAGTGACCTCATTTTGACAAAGTTATTCAGCTGAGAAAAAATCGTTAATATGGTTTATATCAAAGAATGTTAGATACACATCATTATACTAAACTTTGAAGTCTGATAATATGATTTAAGTTTCTTTTAATTATTTTATTATTTTACTATATTGAAATTTTAAAATAACGAGAATTATTTTATTTATTAATTATTATTTTGTTTTCAACTCGCTGTATACAGAGGATGAGCAGAATACTTTAAAATTACATATTTAATATATTTGATATTTATTTATAAAAGTCACGAAATAGTAATTTTTAAAATTCTCTTATATAGAAACTAAGAATTGTTATCTCCGGAATATTAACTAGAATTTATTTGAAATAAAATATATACTTTTTATTGAGAAGTATTTATCAACAATGAATATATACATAAAGGTAATGTCAAAAAGCATCCACGCGACTGTGTTGTTACGTAGCATTTTTATTATTTTCATATGCTTTTTATGAATAATAACTATGTAAGATGATGTAAATAAGGAAAAGATAGTTCTTGTAAGGTTTCACAATTGTTCAAAAAATCAATTATACTGTTACGTATATAGATAGTAATTTACCCCACAAGATATCTATTATAGATTTCTTAAGAAATCAGTGTAAATAAGTGATAAGTATGTACCATTTAATACTGTATAATGGAATTGTAAAAATTTTTAAGAATTGGAACATTATAGTCGCGCAGAGTTTCCGTTTCGTTATAAACAATTATTTTCTCAAATGTTTGTCTTTTTAGCGCTTCATTCTGATTGAATGTAAACGTGAAACATTTATGTTACATTGATTTTTTCTAGTAAATGCAACACGACTGGAACAAAATACAGTCAATTATAAAGTATACAGTAAATTATATGACATCTAGCTTTGTATAACGTTATGATCCATGGAGCTGAAATGAATTGGATTATCATTTTTTTTTTTTTTTTGATGCACTTATTTTTGCTTATCTGTTACTTGCTTATTCGTGTTTATGACAACTCCGTGTGACGCTACTTTATAAAAATTCACACATGAATTACAAATATTTCTGCTTAGTGTTTGTAGTTGTCGCCACATTAACAAATATAAAATTGTAAAGATTTTGGATTGGGCCAATGATAAAATTTTGTTTACTAATAAGTAATAAAATTTTATTTTTTTAATGAGACGATGGTATATCGCCATTGACCTCTTTTTAGGCATTGTCATTAACAAAAAATATTAAGGGGCCGATCCAACTTTTGCAATGCTCTTATCAAAGGATTACAATCCAACATGTACAAAATCATCTGATCTATTGTTTATTGAGAATGATTGCAGGATAAAATTTTTTAATTTGTAAATTTATAGATATAGGCGTCGGTCCGATCGACCCTGTGTATCAATGCATGTCAATGCGACTTAAATTGGATATTTAAATGATTAACAGTTCTTTTTTTAGAAATTATGATGCTGATAGTTCTAATAATAACGAATAAAAAAAAATTGCTTCACATACTAAAAATTTTGAACAAAAAAATATTTAACAACCTACGATTTCTTTTTTTCATTACATCTGAAAAACAAATCAAACATAAAATAAATAAAATCTACATTACAACCTTATGAACACTCCAGTTCAAATTCTTATTTGCATTTCTATTTACGAAATGACATATGATGATAAATTCCAAAGAGATTTTCGAGAGAAGATTATTAATCTTAAATCATTTAAAATTTGTACGAGTGAACCCGATTATACAAAAAAAGAATTTGAACAACTTTTAAAAAATATTCATTCAACACTGCAACCTAAGGAACATTATAGTAGACCTAAAGAACATTGCAGTAGAGGTCTAAGCATCTAATGTATGAATCACAAACACCATGGCCATAGTAAATTATAAGTTAAATGGTTTCATCACTTGAATTGAATTAAATTAAAAAACTGGTCTATCAACCATTAGAAATTCCAGAGTTAACCTCAGGATGTAAATATTTGCTTTCCAAATCCATTGTTTAAAAAAAACCAAAAAGTTATCGTTTAATGACAAATAACTGGCTTATTTTCTTCTTTTATTTTTTATCTTTTTTATTTTTATTTTTATTTTTTTCTGAAAAAGCAAATGTAAATAATAAAAATTTGTATTCTATCTTTTTTCATCTTTAAAGAATAAATTCTACCTTATTTCAGATTTATTATCGGTAAATTGTTTCTTAAAAGGGAACTGTAGTTCAAACTTATTTGATGTTATCCAAACTACCTAAAACGTACAAAATTATGCGATGAATAATGTCAAGTCATGCGGTCGATTCCAAACTCCCGGACTGACCGGATGCCAAAATTACTCAGGCCAGTCGTCTAGGTCGACCATACTGTTGAAGATTTGTCGGTTAAACAAAAGTTCAAATGTCTTATAATTCGATAAAAATACTTGTGGTCACTAGAAAACCGCATATATTTGGGTGCTTGAGAACGTTCTACATGGGAATTATCGATAAATTAAGTAGGGTTCCACAAGGGTCGATTGAGCTGGATATTTGAAGTTCCATATATGATTGGATAGATATCAGGAACGAATGCATATGAGTGCCGCAGAGCAAAAACCTGCAATTGACCATAATAAATCATTATGGTCAGTTACAGGTTTTTGCTCTGCAGCACTTATATGACTGTATAGCTTATACGGCAACTTAAGTTGCAGGTAGAATATTTTCGTGATCGTTACATCACATGATTAAGCGCTCGGTCTAAGTTAGGGTTAGGCCATAGTATAATTTAGGCCGTTTGTCTAGTGTCAGTAAACAAATGACGTAATTGCTCGATTTCATGTATTTACTAATTTTCCCCCAAGTTCCTATTTCTGTATTAGCCGGAATTATTCGCACCAAATTACATGTCATTTTATCCTTAAAATGTTAAGTTCAATGTCAGAATTAATAGACGATAAATATCATGAAGGAATTTTTTAAGCGATTAATTTTCGTGTACACCTGATCTTGCTCTCTGATTCGCTGTAGATGTATCACGTTATTAAAGATCGCGATTTTATCCAATTAGAAAGGGTATTGATACCGATACAGCAAACATGTGACTTATCTGCTTATCGGCACAGCAATGATCGACATAAGCGATGTGACAGTTAAATCCGGTCGTACTACTAGGAAATTATTCTAACTGGTAACTACAAGGGTCGAGATAGCACGAATGTTCAAGTAACACTGCTAGAATTTGCTCTTTACACCCTAATTGGTAGGCTACGATTGAGGCGTGGATTGATTTGGTCTGAGAGTAGGGTGTCTCTTGATACAATTTACCCCAGTATCGCCATCAAAATTTTCACCCCCACGTGATATATGTAGTACAATGTATAAGTTGATCGACAATATGCATTTATTCGAATATATGTAAAACATCAAATAATAATAAAAAAACAAGAAGATTGATATCAAGTGCTAATAATAAAAAATTATAACATTCAACTTAGCTAGATAACATAATATAGTAATATAAAAACAAGCAATATTTAAATCAAATAGATTATTAGTAATCAATTAAAAAATAAAGTATTATGTGAATGATCTTTAAATGTATGAGGCATTGTTCTTCTATGTTTGTAAGAAGCAATTTCAGATGTCATTTGTTCTATCGCATTAAAGTTTTTTTTAATTGTTTTTGTCCATTTAAAATTCTTTTTATCCTGTTAATCCTTAAGAATTTTCAATGTTTTTTTCAGTTACTTTCAGTGTTGGCATTTGGACTATGTCCAAATTAAATTTTAATTGGACATAGACAAATATGGACATGGACTAGTCCAATAAATATCCATGTTCAAATAATGGATCAAGTTCAGAAATACTTTTTATTACTATACTAATCAATAAAATCATTGTACATGATATATTAAATAAGATTGTATAATGCAACAAGCAGAGACACAAAAATATTATTTCAAATTAAAGTATAAATTTTGATTAATTTGGATAAAAATTTTGATTTATTTTGATTTGAAAAAATCATTGGCTGAAATTATAATAATATTGACAAAATCACATGCTTAAATGATTAGTAGCCAATTATTCTCTGATCACAGGATAAAAATTATATCCAAAAATTTCAAAATTTGAAAAAAAATTTCTTTTTAAAAAATTTCTGTGTCCCTAATGGCAGTGCACAAAATTTTCGTATGATATGTGATTTTTCTTCAAGTATTTTTTCTTAATCAGAATTTAGAAGCCATAGTCAGAAGTAGTGACTGGACTTATATAAATTTGTGACTCATAAATTAAACTAAAAAGATGATTCAAATTTGAATTATTTGAGTTATAAGTTGACGAGTCCAGTCACTAGTCGGAAGTTATTATTATAAATAACAGAAATTTTTCATCAGTTGAAAAGTCATGATAAAAATTTTTTTTGATAGACAAAATTCCTAGCATTTTACTTTCTATAACCTTTTCAACTAACATATTTGTGACTTTCTATTTTTATTAACCTTCCATGATATGTATAATTATTATACTATTATCTAACAATAGGTGAGAAAAAACAGATTCAAAAATTATATCTAAACAATTAATTTATGTAATATACAGATAATAACTAAGAACAAAAACTTTTAGACACTATCGATTAAAGTATATTATTATGCAGCTGATTATTTTTAATATTGTATATCAGTCTTTCTTGAATAAATTATATATATATGCAAATGTGAATGTGATTCTATTTAAGAATATTCATACAATATCATGTTTATATAAATGGTGCATCATTTATCTAATAATAAGTATTTGTTTTTAACTAGTGCTTAGACTTATACTATTTTAGACAAAAATTTCCAGAAATTGCATAAGTCTAGACACTCTGCTTTTAACCCAGAGTGGAATAATATACAGATTTCTGAACATTTTACTGACATTAGATATTATAAGAAATAATCTAACTATAATAATAATAGATAATAATCACAATAGAAAGCCCTTAATAAATTTGTTGAATATTGGATTGAGCTAAAAATACTTTTTAGATTGCTGAATTTACTAAAATTGTGAGAATATTATAACTTCTAATTAGTATTTGTACATTTTGTTTATTTGAGACTAGTTGACTAAGAAAAACTTAATATTAATACGTATATAAAAAGGAATAGGTCTGAAAAAAAGTAATTTGTGTCATAAGGCATTCTCAAACAATTATTCTGCAAGTTCAATAAAAAATTTGATCATCTGTCTATTAGACAAATTGATCCAATTCTTTGTTGAGTCCATTGAGAGGTGATTGAAAACACCTCTTTATTTAGATAGTATGATTACTATAATTATAGCTATCTTGACTTATTTAAAGAATAAAAAGTAAAAGGCTTTATCATATAAGATAAATAAAGGCCTTTCTAATGTTGATTATACTGATTTGAAGTATTATTATTTAAGCAATATATCTTGTAATTAACTATTTATAGTTTATTGCTTCAATGAATAATATATAATAATTTTAACTTTAGAAAGCCCAAATTCAGTAACAATAAGTAGTACAATCATCATAATTACGATTGTTTTGATTGCTTAATTCACTAAATGAAAAGTAAAAAACTTTTTTAATAGTACCATAAGTGATTATTATAATGTGCTTGAAATTCATCTATAATATTGCTTAAAGATTAGTTTGAAATTTAAAATTCAAATAAAAATATAAATAAAAATAAATAAATAAATAAGAAGTTTTTAGAAACAAAGTTTGATTAAGAAACCAAGTAGCAATCTCAAAGTTGTGCATTGATAATTTTGTTGTTTAAATTATCTTTACTTATCTATCATATAAATATGGGCAAACAACCTCATCATCTATCAGAATTTATAATCATGCTTGATGAACAAGCAAATAAAAGCAATAAATTTTCTATCTGTCAAGAACATGTATTAGGTTATTCTTATAAAGAAGCATATAATAATAAGTTTGCAAACATACAAAAACTTGTTTGCCATCATTTAAAAAATTGTATATATTTTAAACAAAAATATAATAAATCTGAACAAGCAGAAATTTTAGCTAAATTAGATAAAGTTGTTTTAGCAACTAATAATTGTAAGCATAATTAATTAAATAAAATATTGTTTACTTTTTGTATATAAAGTTATCATTTTTATTTTTGACTTAGCTTTTCAAAAAAGTATCGATGATAATTCTGCTACTGGATCAGAGGTTTCTTTAGCTACTAGCTCTCTTCAGTCAAAGTTTCAACATAAAAAAATAAAATAGATCATTATTTATTATGGCCTTTAAGTGAGGATCAATAGAAGCATTTTGAATAACTTTTACTTAAAGCAACCATTTCATGTAATTGGTCTTTTTCTTGGGTAGAAAACTCTAAAATAAAAGCACTTTTTGAGTTTCTTTATCTACCAGTTAAACTACTTTACAAAAAAAGCTTAATGGTCAAATTTTAGCAGAATATGCACAAAATGTAACTAAATCAATCAAAGAAATAGCTTAAAGTGATAAAAATGGAATTACATTAGCATATGATGGCTGGAAAAATATAAAAAAAAAGTTAATTTTAGAAAGTGTTTTAATTACCTCAAAGAGTAATATTCTTATTTGGAGTGCAGAAAATATATCAAATAAATATACAAGATGGCCTAATGTACAATATTGAACAGAAAATATACTTGATGATCTAAAAAAAAAGCAAATAAAAGTTATTGCTGTTATAACAGATTGCATATCTGAATATAAAGTAGCTAGGTAATACATAGTAACTCAATATAGCAAGCTCTTGATATAACAAAGATTAAATAAAATCTTGTTACAATAAACCAAGGTTTAGGTTACAATATTGTAAAATACATTATATCAAGAGTTACTGTAAAATTAGATATAGTGTATTGTTAATATATTTATATTAAATTTTTTTTTATCTTTTTAAATTTAGAAAACATTTACAACATGTACATCTAGAAATTATCTTTATCCCATGTTTTGCACATCAAATAAATTTGTGTGTTGGTAATATTTTTAAAAATTCAAACACATTGTCTGTTGTTGCTAAACAAGCCATTCATTTTGTATCTTTTTTTCATTATTAACATTTTTTTTAGGACATATTCATTCAGAACAAGCATCTATATATAAATCATATATTTCTTTTGTGTCCCCAAATTGTACACTATGGAATAGTCACTATTTGTGTTTTGCTAGCATTATTAGGTCTCATGCTGCACTTAAAAATTTAGCTAAAGAATAGAAAAAGATAATGATAATATTTTTAAAGGTTTTTCTAGAAGTATCCTTTTTAATATTTTAGACAATAAATAGTGGAAAAACCTTATACAATTAAAGATTCTTCTTGAACCATATATGGCATTATTAAATAAACTTCAATGTGACAAAGGCAATCTTATTGAAGTTTTACATAGCTTCAGATGGATATATCAAGTTATTAAGGGTATTACTAATCAAGATCTTAAAAATTATTTACTAATAAAATTAGAAAAATGATGGTCAGCCTAAGAACAGCCATTACTACTTTTATCTTTTTTGTTACATCTAACTTATCGTAATACACAGTTTAACCAAAATCTTGATGGTCTTTCTCTTGTATATATGGGAAAATGGATTGTGCACTATTATAAATCCTGGTTTGGTAAACCTTCATACTCTATTTTAGGTAAATTGCAGCATTATAAAAGTGAAGAATATTTATTTAATAAAGAAACGTTTAATCAATTTAGTAGTGACTTGCTGAAATATTGGAATTTTTGCAAAAGAGTTGCTGAAGAATTGCATCTTGTAGCAGTTCGCATTTTTTTAGTTTGTATAACTACAGCATCAGTAGAACGATTATTCTCTGTAATGGAATAGTATCACTCAGATTAACATAATAAACTTCAGACAAATATTTTTTTTAATATCGATATATTATAATTTATTGCCAATGTGATATGTTATTACTCTATTAGACAAACCAGAATGAAATTAGAATATTGAATAAGAAACCATCTCTTTTGTTCTAACAAAAAAATTATTTTTCAAACTGCCAACCTTAACTAGAGATACAGTAAAAACTGATATAGTTTATGCTATAATATTCTAAACTTATATTATAACTAGTTATGGCATAAGCTGTAGCAGTTTTTACTGCACCTCTAACCCTAATTATTATTCTTGCATAAATTGTCTGTTAAAAGTAATTATATATTGCATTGTGATAAAATATCTAATTAGTTACGAAATTATTTATATTTATCATATTTTATATCTAATAATATAAAAAAGTTCAACCATGAGCCAAATAAGATCAGAGCTTTTACATTCACAAAATATTGCAACAATTGACAAGTTATTAAAAATATACAAGCAAAATATTGCAACTTTGTTTGAACAAATAAGTCATGATAATAATAGTAAAGAAGAATTTATATTGTCAGATGAAGATACTGATAATGATTATATTAATATGAAAGATGTTAGAGATAGTGATCATATAGAAACAGTTAAGTGTGTAGATAACTGGAAAGTAATTGTAAAATGCTGGATAAATTTAACTGAAGATAATGATCATATGCAATATAATTCAGCTAGTTTAGATGAATCAGAAAATTTAGATAACTTATATGATGAAGATGAAGTAATATATCAAAATTATTTACTTCACCCTGCAGATAATTTGGAAGCAAAGTGGAAATTAACAGATACTTTTGTGGATTCATTAGTACAACCTAATTCTATTTATTTGCTTTTAGGTGATTAAAAACATAAGTAGCAGACTTATTTACAGTAAATGCATATTTAACTAATTAATTAAAAATTAACTTAACTAATATAATATAGCATTTAATAATTATATACTTGCAGACTTCAATATATTATTAGAAATTAATCCAAAAATGTAACAGCTTTAAATAATCTTTGCAGAAATTTAAAAAAATAAAAAATATAATAAATATATAATAAATATATTTTAGATATATTTATGTTAACTTTATTATAACTCTATATTAAAAATATATTAAACATATTTTTTAATTATATAATTAATATATTATTAATATA